CTGCATTAAGGGCTCCCTCCTTCATCAGCAATAAGCCCCGTTTTAATTCCTACAATATCAGGAACCGCAGAAATTTGCGTAATGCAGGACTGGACTCTGGCTGTGCATGAATTTGCAGTATTGCAAAAAACTAAACCAAACCCTAAACTCTAGAGTTCTTAGCAACTGAAGTGTTGTTTCTTTCAAATTAATAATTTGAACTGGCTATGGAAATACAGGAACGAGTTCGCTATTGCTAATCCCAGGGTTTTACTGAAGCTACTGCTGTTCAAACGGAGGTCTCGGTACACATCTCGCTTGTACCGTAACGACCCTGCAGTTCCCAAGTTTGGTCCAGAGGCCGCTGAAATCTATGAGCCACTCAACTAACAGCTGCTCCAACAAGAAAAACATGTAGCAGCAGCCTCAGGTAGTCTGACTTCTTCAACAGAAGAAGTTATTTTTGGAGAAAATTGCTCCAAATGTCATCCACTTCCAAAAAAAAAAAAAAAAAAGACAGACACACAGGATCACATTTCTCAAACTGCCAAGATTTTTTTTCCTTTTTAGCACACATTTATTTTACTTTTTAAATTTTCCTTAAAAGTGGGTAACTTAGAGCAGCTTTCCATCCACAGAAATTACAGGAACTCTCCCACCTGCTCCGAATTAAATGTATTTCTAGGTATCAACCACAGCACTCTGCTCTTGCAGTTTTTACCGTTCCCTTGTGCAAAAGCTATCATGGGGAGAGCAATTCTAAGGCACGAAACTTCTCCTGCTCTTCATGGGGCCAGCCGAAAAAAGGAGAGCACCACTCTGCAGGCTGCAGAAAAGCTACGCAAAACTCCCCCGTGTCCCAGGGAGCTTCTCCCCCACGGAACGGGGCAAGGAGTGATTTGCAGCCTACAGCGAAGCCCGCTAAGGCACTGACATCCTTGCAGCGCACGGGGCTCTGACTTATGTTCCCACAGAAGAGCTGCTAGCCCAAGACTACAAAGACTCACTGGCCAAAAAATCTCTCATCAGAGCAGCCAAGGAAGAAATCAACCATGCAGAAGCCCTTACTACAACTTGTGGGTTCCTCTCCTGACTCTTCATTGAATTTGATCCTAAAAAGCATTTTCCACCTAGCCCACAAAAGCCAGTCAAATCTGTCTCTTGACAGTATATAGCACCTTTATTTATCCCTGAGAGCTGCAACACCCCTAGAGATCAGCATCACCTTTGCCATTTCCTGCAAAAATATCTTCCTACAACTTCTCTTACTCAAAAAACGTCAGCTCAAATCTTGCACGATAACCTGGTTTCATCCCCATAAACACAAAAGCACGTTTGGCAAAACGGACAGGCTATTAGGGGAATTTTCAGCTTCTGACAAAACAAACTCACACCCGACTCACACGCTGACTGGACTCAGACAGCGGATGTCCTTTCAACGCCCAACATCTTGTGAGGCACTCGGCACAACGATGCGTAAAAAAGCACCCCTTTTCAAGGCTGAGAACATAGTGCTAAAGGCTGAAGTTTCTTTTAAAAGCTAACTGAAAATCTGAAACAATGGTTTTGAAATTCACTTCGTTACAGGAGGCTGTGAAGTTTATTTTCAGCTGGTATCTCATTTGCAGTGCTCACGTGGAGCCGTACGCTTATGGACGAAAGCAGCCCTGCTATCTCCAGCGGGAAAACTCACATGAAGTCTAATAATGCAAACCCCGACGGCCGATGGACAGAACTGAGAGCTGAGGCGGAGGAGGTAGCAGTGTTACACTTAAAGAATAAATCAAGACGGTGACTACCAGATTAGAGCGCACCCGCCCCTAACAGCGAACACGGCTTCTTTCAACAGAACTGAAACCCAGAAGACACATTTCCTCAGATATTCTCATAAATTTTGGATTAAACTGTTTGTTTTAACTGCTCTGTTCATGCCTCACAGCTGATGTTCTGTCCGGCTGAACATCTAAAAACTGTTGCTAGAGGCCGTGGCTGAGTACAACCTCATTAAAAACTGCAGGTTACCAGGTTAGGAAGGTCACAGTCCAGACCTGAGGAACGGAAAGGGTACAAGCTGCGCTTCAGAGCTTCCCTTCCCATTCAGAAATATTTCTGAAGGCAGAAGTGAACCGTGGCAAACAGTAGCGACGTTTTTTAAAACACAGCATGATACAGACAGCGAAGGATGTTTCATTCAACACTTCTGTTAACACAGGCATGTCCCACTGGCTTGTTTGCTAGATTTATACAGAAAGAATCAGTCTTCAGTAATTACTTCCTCTGGACTTAAGTGGTTTACACCTGGCAGTTAAGACTTCCTAGGCATTTTATAGTTATAAAAAGAACACTTTTTACCCTCCCCATCTGAAACACTCAATCTTACTTTCACTCAGAGTAGAACAATTCAGATTGCCTGAGAGCGGACCAAACAGACTAAACTCAAGCAGTGCACTTTAAAGTAATACATTTTGCCTCAAATTACATACTAGCACAATGTCATTTGGACCACGAGTTTTTCCTTGTGAAAGTAGATTACAGAGAAAACTGAGGCAACCTATTTATTACTCTTCATTAACGTTTTGGGAGACAACTATTATTTTGAAGGGGTTTTAGTGATTCAGAATAGTTTCCAAGCCCCTGTTACAGCTCGGAAAACCAGCATAATCTCACCAGTAATAAAAATTACTTTCAGCCTCATTTCATTTCGCTAAGCAGGTATCAAGGGAGACAGACACCGAGAGATGCATGCAGACTGGTCTACCAAAGGGTTTTTTTAAATTAAACCAGATACCTACGAACTAAGAGCTCACTTTTGAATAGGGACTTCCAACTCAGCATCTCAAAGCACTTGAAAAGGCAGGTAAAACCACACTGTCCCCATGTGAAAACCACAGACAGAGGATTATTTAGGGATACCGTCGTTCGACCAGACCCACGGGACAAAATGGAAAGTACCAAAGGTAGGAGTCATGCAGACCCATGCCGCAGCCCATGACTCAGCCACCCACACAGACACTGAAATACCCCCATCTCCAGCATAACCTCTAAGAGCGCTTACATTCCACAGGTCTTCTCAAACGGCTTCTGTGGATATTCCTCACTGCAACGCCGCACAGCGTTAGCAAAATCCGTTCTAGTCCTGCCAAAATAGTCTGCGGGATTCTACAGAAACATCCAGTGCTCGAAAGGCTTCCTTGCCTGGGAGCATACACTTCTAATGGTCACCTCTGCACAGTGTGAACCAGCAATCATGGCTGCCACACCTCCTCCATTATGTTTCATATGATCATTTCCATTTCAGCACTCTGCACTTTCTTACTCCAGTTCTGGTTCTCTCACTTCATCAACTTAAAAGGCTCTTCCTACAATAACAGGTTAGTAATGGCATATTACCATGTGAAACAATGCATGATTATAGTTTCTATGTTTAACTACATAAGCATTTTTTTTTTTGCTCTGTTATTTAAAACATTTGCATCCACTTTGATTTCAGCCAGTAAAATCAAACTGTCCTCTAAATATGAGTAATACTGAATATGAACTTTCTCTCATTCATTTGTTTCCAATAACCTTGTAGATCATATTTTTCCCCTGCTTGTGGCTGGCAAACATGCCTCCACTCGCACGGAAGTTACGAACAGTTAACATCATCTTTCACTGCCAGTTCTCTTACACGGCACTACAACTAACTGCCAATAGCTTCCCCGAGCACTTTGTGCATGACTTCTCAAAAGCTAGTTCAAGCAGTCAGCCTTCTCCTCTGAAAACATTATGCTGTTTAAAAAGTTTTGGGCTGTGGTGTTTTGGTTTTGTTGGTTTGGTTCTTTTTTTTTTTAATTAAAAAATGCTGAATATAAAAATAACTGTCCTTAAAGCAACAGCTTAAAATACCTAAGAGCTGCTAATTTTGCTGAGTAAACCAGAGAAAACCAGAAGTTCATTTTAAAAAATACAGATGCAAATATAAAATTGAAAGCAGAATGAAACTGCATAAGACCTTGACATTCCCACGGAGCAGTTTTCTCACCCCACGTGCATCTACAGATTTTAGCTTTCGCACAGTTAACAATTATGTTTCTAAACATAATGTTAGTAAAATTGTGCCATGTAATTCCATTGCGTAAGATACTCGCTTTTCCCACTCTAAAGAACATGTGCAAGTACTACAGACCAGTACAGGTAGAGTAATTCCCTAATATGACTGCAGGTGAACATGGGAAGAATTTATTCCAGCGAAGATCCTGCCTCGCAGGGACTGTTACGCTGACTCGCATTCCAGTCACACACCAGCCCTAAAAGGTAACTGCGTGATTCACTGTACGAGGACGACACCAGCGAGAGCAGGTCTGCCTGGACAACGGTCATGTTCTTTATCTGTAAACTCCTGCAGTGTCCCTTAGGACGTGGCAGGGATTATATGAGTCTAGAACTTTTGAGAAACTGAATGAGCACTCCATAGACGAAAGTGTACTGTGAAAGAGTCTGCACCATCATCATCCTCTGCTGTCTCAACATGTCCAGCACTCGTGGGATGTCCATCATCTGGAGGAAGAGAACACACCATTACAAGTGACGGGGGAGCAAGATGACTGGTTTGCACCTTCCCAGCAGGAGGTTCAGAGCAGTACTGGTGATTTAAGGGCAGAATCAGCTGCTGGAATTTCAGCTTTGGCAACTCATTGCCCAGGCCTGCGGTGTGGACTACACTACAGCACCGACCATGCCTGCCTCTCATCTGGGAAACGCTAAACATGCCTGCCTCATGTGGTACGGGTCTTCACTAATCTAACGGCTGCAAAAGTCTGTCACAGTGTTAGGACACGGATGCACAATGAAACCATGTTTGTTGAGTCTCAGCTGGCATGTTACATTATTAACAAATGCTTTACAGCTGTTCACTTCTGGCTAAAATATGGTAGGGCCAGATTTTATTCTATTAAACTACCTCTTTGTCCTCTGCTGAGACCGATACTACAGGTACAGTATACTTGGGAACAAAATATTTAATAACAAGCACAGAGACTGGCTAGAAAGCATGTTCTTGAATATTATCCATTAAAACTAAGGCATGAAGTAAAAGTGGTAAAGTCAGGATGAAATCCTGAAATATGCTTCGTAGCCTAGGGCGTACCTTGTTCCACTCAGCGACTCAACATCTTAAGGAGTCAAGAATGCAAATGAGCGTTCCAGTACCCTGTATGCAAGTGGGCAGCTCTAGAAGATGATTAACTTCTGTTCAATTGCCAAGAGCTCTTTCAACCATAGATGTAAGGGCTCTTCCAAAGGCCACCTCTTGGGAAAGCTCAGAAGAACAGCCATACAGTATTTATTAGGCAGGTTATTTACTCTTCCACTACCTAACACTGTTTAAAGCACGAGAAAGAAAGGGAGATCACCTCATTGTGTTCCAAGCAAGCGATCATGATCTCTGACAGAATGACCACCCCTGTTCGTCCTACACCTGCACTGCAGTGTACCAGTACGGGAGGATTAGGGTTTTTCGGATCCGCAGTGCTGTTCGTATGGCGCCGCACCGACTGTATCTCTTCCAAGTACGCTACGAATTTCAACAAGACAAGAACAATACGTTTAGGAAATGAAGCCCCATAAACCATGCTATGCTGTATAACCACCAGAAAAGAAGTAGTTGAACAAACGACGGGAAATTATGTGCTCTGTAAACCACAAGTCGTATCCCAACCGAAGCAAGAGGGATCTATAAAGATCATCTAACCTGTGTAAGGCTTTCCTTGTCTCGTTCCCCTGTTCCCCACCAAAGGCGGCTCGAGGCCGTCTCAATACTGCTGGAACATACCCAAACGTGTAGTACGCGATACAATTATGGTTTAGTCTATATGAGCTTTTAGTAAATTATATACTTGGCTTTATACATAAACAGTCACTTTAACAAACTGGCAGGCATATTCCTGCCAAAAAAGTAATTCAGTATCTCTTGCTGGTGTGAAGAAACCTTTTACAGCAAACGCTTGGCATACTTATCAAAAGTTAACGCATTTATAGCAGCCATTTTAGGAAGTATTAAGAAAAAGCCCCCAAAACTCAACCCCAAAACAAAGCTATTAAATACAACTTACAGAGAAATCCCTTTAAATCCTCTGGACAGCCATGCTCTGGCCAGTCGGTATACTGCAGATGCCAAACTGTTCTCTCCTGTCCTGTGAGAAGATGTTTAATCTTCAAACCCGTAGTCGCATAGCAGCCTGAGTCGGTGCGGAATCGTGTGGTAATCTTAAATCTCCCATACGTAACAGTGTTGTGTCTTGAACCAAGACGTGGCCAGTATCTGAAGCTTTTTTCTCGCCCACTTTCCTTAAAAGTAAACCAACTTGCTTAACAAGAAACATAAGAACACTCACAACGCTCCCCCAACAACTGTCTCTCTCCTCTATTAGGTACTCCTACAGTGTTGTTAGGGTTTCTCACTGAGTAAACCAACTTTACAGTGGAAACAGTTTGCAAATTTACATCTTTCTGCCAAGGAAAATGAGACAGAATGGCAAAAGGGGTCACTAGAAATTAATCTTTGTTTCGTCTTCTTGTTGGAGCAAAGATCCCCTTCCTCTAACAGATGGTAACAAAATCATTGCAGAATTTGTGGGAGAAGCTGTTTATACTCACTTCCTCTGCTGTCACCATAGCTATGATGGCAATCCCTTGTTCCCAGATCATCTGCCAGAAATCCTGACACGTATTCTGCAAAGGGCCCTGTGTAGCAATGTAATCCCACTCTATGCCGCCTACAGAGATCTGCAAGAAGACAGATATTAGGTAATTACTGAAAACTCCCTTTCCCCAACACTTAAGTCAGCCACTGAAGATGCACGAACTGAGAAGAGACCGCAACGCTGTAGAAGTCGGAGCCCCTTGTGAGTTGCGTCTGCCTCCCATGCTTTAGCTGCATCTTGTCACACCGTATCTTACATCATCAGCATAACGTAACGGCGAGTAAATAAAATTGTATTCCTCTTCTGTGAATTTAAGGTATTTTGCCAATTCAGGTTTAGAGAAGCTTTCGTACCCTGGTGCCGTAAATGCTATTATATGCACTAAAACGCCAGAATTAGCTGATGCTTCCTCAAAAAGTATTATCTTGTTTTAGAAGGGACAGAAGAGTTACTCACCATGTGTGAAAGAGTTAAAGTATAGAAACTATAGTACCATGGCAGTGCACAAGCAGATTTATGGGAAAAAAAAAAAAAAAAAAGGCTGCCACACAACTGCAACTGCTACTTTGCCGATCTCGGCTGCTTTCAGAGAAAGCATGAAGCCAGCTGTAGTTGCACTTCAAGCAGGTAAATGCACTGAAAATTAACAAACTGCCTTGATGTTCTTGAGGTCACCCTGCAACTTCTTCACTTGTAAAAACAGAGTTTAAAGAGCTACGGCTGGGGGAAGGGGGCAAGTGAAGATTATGAAGGAGCAGGTTTCCCGCTGGCTCCACCTGTTTTTCTAACCACCCAAAAAAGCTTATGCTGGGAGTTAGCTTACTGCCTGTTGTGGGTCTAGGCTGAGAGTACAGAAGAGGAAGAAATAACAAGGACTGTCACTGCAGTTCAAAAATATCATGAGCATTGCAAAGGATCCCAGTTGGTAACAAAGCTATTTGCCTTCTGAACTTTGGGAAGAATGGATATGCCTTCTGTTAGCACCAATCCACAGATGAGACGAAGAGAGAAAGGAGACAGTAGATCAATACAGAAGGGACATGCTAAACACCTGTCTAGTAATTAACCCTCCATTTTTCTAGGTAGTGAGGAAAACCAAGTTTCTCCCTTCCCGAAAGAAGTGGGAAAGAGAGAGATGGAGGGCTTCTCACTCATCTGACCACACCACAACTGACAGCCAAACCAATCTGAGTTACCACATGAACTGGAAAAGATTTCTCTCACCTTGATATGAGATGCATTGATGTAACCCGTGTTATTCTCTTTGGTTGGGACTAGCTCTACTCTGGTATCATCATAAGGAAGGACGTCCTGGAACCGGTTCCTTTCAGCATTTTCAGGAAGCCGAGCTATTGAGCACTCACCATCTATAAGTCTTTTTTTCTGAATGCGCTCATATTCCGTAAACACCATCCCCTGCTCTAACCGTTGCTCCAGAACTTTACACTGAAAGACAGGACACAGATAACCATACAGAGTCACATTCTGAGGCCAGACAGGACACAGATAACCATACAGAATCACATTCTGAGGCAAGTCTCTTTTAACAGAGAAATCCTGAATGATAAAATGCCTTTTTTTTCCTCTCCTACATACTTTTTCAATGCTTTTCCAGCCATTAATGTTTTCACACGCATACCAGAATAAATTAGAGGCAACCCTAACGAGCAGGAATTTTGTTCAAGTGAAAACTAAGAAGCCTTCACTACTTCATTAGGTCACAAAGACTGTGGATACCACTGGTGAATGAAAGAATTACTTCATAGTTTCTATAAAGACAACCCAGTTGGGCAAAGAAGTATTTCGCCAAACCAGACAGCGATGCTGTATTACAAACTGCCTCAAACACCTCTGAACAAGAAACATCCATTAATCCTCCTGCTCAATATAGCACATTAGATGATGTCATTTGAAAAGGTGTCCTTTAACCTTGTAATGGGGGAGGGGGGAGAAAAAAAAAAAATCAGTCAACTCTCACTGAGATGGAGAAAAACTCCAAAAACGTAAAGCAAAACATCTGCCTCAGTCAGTGAGCTAATAACTGACTACGAATATTCCACATTTTCTTAGGCTAAAGATACTAAGCTGCACATGGCAGCACAGACTTCCTAGAACCTTTTGCTGCAGCTGAGGTATAAACCCAGGATTTTCTTCTACGAGTATAATTCAGTCTGTTTTACCTAATAAGCTTCTCCTTCTCCTCCCCCATCCCTCTGATTTATTCTTTCTAAACCAAGTTCTTTCTAAATCATAAGACACTTCTGGAATTTCAGCGTTTCTTTGCCAACAATAATTAGAGGAATAATATGTAAAATTTCAGCCAGAAAATTTCATCTATGTCACATGTCCCCAGCCACTCACAGCAACTGTTCTGTGGTATCAGGTCAGAAAATTGGCCTGTATCAAATAACCGCCGTGCCAAACGTTGCTGAGGAAGGTGTAAAACCTCAGTCACACGCAATTGGCTCATCAATACATCAACCATACAAACTCCTTTATTATCTTTAGGCTGAATTCTCTCATTTAAACTGACAACAACATGAAGCTGAGCAATGAAACAGGCATTGAATCAACTTTAAAGTCATCTAAAATATCTGCAGTCCGGACTTCTTTTCATGTAACATGTTGGCTTTGCATTGCCTTTCCTCCACTGTTTTAGGAATTACTCCCTCTTCATTGTATCTGTTCTGCCTCTGCATGACTGCCTGAAGAGAAAGTATGGCGACACGTCTGTTTCAAAACTTGAATTCATGGATTCTTCTTTTACATCAACACTTGGGGCAGAGCTAGCTGAATAATAATATGGCTGAATTAAAGAAAGGTCAATCCAGGAAAGGATGATGGCTGTAAGAGGAAATAACCAACACAGGTACCAAATGCAGAACTGTATCTCAGTAACAGTGTTCATTTCTGTCCCTCCCCATCTTGAAAGAGCGTATATATAGTTCAAAAAGAAGTTCAGTTGTGTTGAAATGGAAAGTCAAATCTCTCTCCTATGAATCTTGCTCCAAGCCTTCAGACTCCCAGACTGAATTTCTGCTGTGTGACTTGCAATTAATTTTCTTGGCCTGTTCCTTAAAACTACAGCTGGCAAAAGCAGGACTGCTCCTTCGGGCTCTAACCTCTGCCCAGTGACTGTCAACAAACTGAGCTAGAGGGGGTCTGCAGCTGAGGATGCCCACCCATGCTCAGAACCAGACTCTAAAGAGACCACTGGTCGCAGAATGAAAATCATCACTGTAGACCTTGGTGTATCTAGTTGCTCCCTGGTCAGATGACAGCACTGTTCAGGCTGGATATTGACTGTATTCCACTTTCCTGCACCTATTTAACAGTATATGAGGCAGGCTGAAGTACATTTACTGATGGTGTTCACCCTGTCACAAGCAGATGGAGTCATATATTTCTCAAAGAATGATCCTCAAATTCTAGAACGTGATGTCCTCTCAGTGATCTGAGATCTTTTACTGAATTTAAAATTTCTGCAGATCACGCAAGTTCCATCTATATTTTCAGGGATCCACCTGAGGAAAACAGATAAATACAATCTACAAAAGCTGTACCCTGGGGATGCAATGTAAGTACAAAATTTGTTGTAAAAATTGTATATAAATTGTTAGTAATTACAACTAAATTCAATCTCACGCTCAGAATTTTGATTTTCATACATTTTCAGTCTGGAAAACAAAAAAATTAAGAGAGAAAACAGAAAGACTTGGCACAAAAATGTATTAGTAGATACCAGTTAATTTGCTTCCTCTATGTTCAAAGCGTAAACCATAATCTGAATCACTGTCATCTTAAACCTTAAAGAAAAAAAATCTGAGTTACACCCAATACTTATCAATCAGAAGTCTCATTCTTCATTTTGTTTCTATTATCAGTATTGAGTTGCTTTGAATCTGTGGCATGTTCAAGTCAACACAAAGCACCATCAATATGCATTTCGTTTTGAAAAAAAATCCCTAGTGTAAAAAAGAAATCAAGCATTGAGAAACTTCAACATACCCGTTCATCATTTGTGGCTCTTGTTGATTCTTCCTTCCCCTCATCTGGCAGAGGCATTCGAGTCAAAGCTAGTCCATTCAGGGCAGCTAGCTTTAGAGGCCCTATTTTTTTTGCATCATTCTTATTCTTTTTCATACCCTGCAAGAAAGATAAGCTAAAACTTGCAAATATTCTTAAGTATCAGGTGAAGTTATAAAGCAGAAACCAGAGGAGTTCAATAAAGCAAAGGATACTTCTTTGACCGCTTCTGCAAACAGCTCTGACCTTTTTTTTTGATAAGCACTGCAGTGAGAGATTAGGGTGGTGGGACTACATTCCTCCAAGGACACTACACAGGTCTGTCTTCATTCCACACAGGTTAATGAAACTGCATGAGAATGCCAAATATTGTTCCCTACAAAGCTCACAACTGAAGTGTGAGGTGACAGCTCTGGGTAATTAACATTCTTGGACAGAACCGAAATAACTTTCCAGCCCCACAAATACATAAAAATTTATTCCTTACTAGACTATTCAGTTTGCAGGCATTTTAATTCCCAGAACCAGGCATCATAATGAGCAGATACCCTTAAGATATTTGGATATAGTTAAATGTTTGACTAAGTTTGCAACAAACTGCACACAGAAAACATGAACATAGAACTGCAGAGAAGTCTAAGCCCTGAACCTGGCTAAGAATTTAAATTACTGAAGTTACCATTCGTTATTTGAAAAAAATACCAAAGGGGGATTTTTATGAAAGCATAAATTCAAATGATTCTTTTCAAAAGTGTAAGACAAAACTTCATCCTTCCTGCAGTTGCTCAGTTTGGTTGTTAACAGAAATACACTGAAACTGTGAGTGCATATGCTGCCTGAATGGTAATCACTGCATTCAAAAGGTAGTAAGGAATGGTGGTAAGGAATAGGAAGACAAAGCTAAGAGGATGAGACCCATTTAGAAGTGAAGTGAACACAAATACAACAGCAGGAGTTCACTGAAAAGCAAAATGTGCAAACATGGTAGGGGCAGCTTTGTTACCAGGATATTCATCTCAGTACTAACTACAGAAATGTAATATTCTCTATTATGCAATGGCACTCTTAAATGTTACAGAACTCAAAAGTATTTTACTGAACACTTGCAGTGAAAAGTTTTCGTATCAGTTGCATTTTGAAGGTTGACTTGAGCACTGACATAGCTATCAGAAGGAAAAAGCAGGGTATGATCTTGGTAGACACTGAAAACATGTCTTTTGGAGAACAAGATACCAAGTGACTATCTAAATGTGAACACAAGGAAAAAGGATTCACCTGCTTTCCTATACCCACATAACAAACAGGAGGAAGGAGTTTTAGGAAAACGTGCACAATTACAGCATGAATTGAAGCGGATGAGGGTTCATTTCACTGTGTTCAGCTGCATGTATAGCAGAGCTGACAGGCAAAAAATTCTGAGAGCAGTAACTAATTAAATACGTAGCTTTTGCAGCATCAGCTGGAACAGTTACCACAGCAGCAGAGGCTACATGGTAGTCCCACTGCAATCCAATTTGTGCAGAAAACTACTTGACGCTAACTCAGGCTAACTCAGGCAGGCAGAGTTAACAACAATTTTAAAAGGCAACATAATAATAAAAATGCTCTTCCTCCATTAGCACCCAAAATATGCCACAGACTAAGTAAAATGGAACTAAAGTTTAAAACAAAATGAGTGGCAAGGAGTGCCAGTGAAACGGTACAGTCCCACACAGACCCTGATGCTTCTATGAGGTGGGAAGTACAGGGAAGGTGAAACTATTTATGGCAGTTCAGTATTTATGGTTCCATGAGAACAGAGTAGGCGAAAGAGACATGGCAAGCAAGAAATACCTTTAGTGGGTAAAAACAGCTTGAAGAGAAGGCAAAAGGGAAAGGATAGAAAAAGGGGAAGGGAGGGGGGAAAGAAGAGAATGCAAGCAAGGCAAGAATTTATTGCCTAACGTGACCGGTCTCTCTCTTAGGTCAGAAGAAGAAAGGGAACAACTCAAAAAAAGTAAACATTCAGGTAGATCTGACTTTTCAGTGAGAGAAAGATTAGAAAACTGGTAGTGGAATGGGAAGAGTCACTTCTGATACAGATGAGGGTAAGTAGGGCAGAATTTGGAATCTAGAACAAACTTTAGATTAGCTCATTCTACAGTTGCTAGCCAGGTTAGGTGTATCAGACAGAGGCTGCACAGCTGATTTGTGTGGGAGGACTACACAAACAGAACTCAGACATGGTAAAGAAGGGGATAAAAGACAGCTAAGCAAAGTTAATCAGAAAAATAAAGGTCAAGCTTAAGGCAGCTCTTCATTCACATGTTTTAAAAGCACCTCCGGTTGATTAAAAAACCCCAGACTTAAACAAAAGCCCCACACAACCCCTGCTACAGAACAACCTGAAAGAAAAGGAAGAGTATCCACTTACACCTAGGGGGGGAAGGCCTTCCACAATATTCTTCTTTCCAGACAGAAGATCGGACACGGGTCTCTTCTTGACCGGATCTTTCCTTACTCTGTATCTCCCTGATGTCGTAAGATCAGATTCCGACATCGATGGAGTAAGCAGTCCTTCCCCTCTTCTCTGCGCCTGGCTTTCTACTAGTAAATGCAGGGGGCTGACATCTTTCATTCGCTTTTCTGTCTCTGTAATATGTAATTTAGGCTCCAGAATATGCAAAGGGCCAGCAGATGAAGCAACAGAGCTGTAAGGGTAGTTCAGTACTGAATCATGAGAATAACCACCCATAACAGATGAAAGTTGGGTTTGATCTTCAGGGAGAGGAGAAAGACTCATACCAGCCTTGTTTTCTTCTTCAAATTCTTCTTCTTCCTCACTGCTGTGAATCAGCATGGTGGCATCTGAAAGGGTTTTCTTATGATCACAATTCACACCTTCTTCTTGCTCACTTTCTTTTTGCTTTGTTCTCTCCATCAGAATGTTGGGCTGTGACCCTTCTGAGATAACTCTTGGAAGAGCCACATCTGCTGCAGAAGCTGACATGGTCCTTTCTTTAATTCTTATTCCTTCAAAGCTGGGAGCCAAGCCTGCTATTTCAATACTGTTCCTCTTCTGCAGCTGAGCGTGGCGTGCCGATGTTAGAGGCTCACTGACTTCCTGAAGAGAATGTGCCACTGGCAGGCTGTCTTCCTGAAATGTCTGGACAGAATGGTGCACTCGCCTCGTGATAAGATCTGGATTGCTGTTGCTAATGTAGATATGTCGTGAGAGGTCTGGAGTGCTATTTGCAGGTCTTGGGTAGGGGTATGGGGGAGGTGGTCGATAGACTTGGGTCTTCATTATATTCGGTGCTGGATAGTCCTGAGCCTGGAGCTGCACATTGGTCAGCTCGGGCACACTGACTGCCCCAACAACTGGGCGCTTTTCTGCAGGATAGGGATAGGGAGATTGGCTGTGAAAACTGTAGTTCAGGTTAAATGGATAATGGTTAGATTGCGGGGAAGCAAAGTGAGCATGTTCTCGTATTTCAGGTTGACTGTAAACTAAGGCATCGGGCCTGCTGTAAGCATACGAATTGCTGATGTTCAGGTTTCTCATTGAATGGCTCTGCCTATCTGTGTGCACCATTCCCCTGTTGAGCTGTCTCATCACCGTTTCATAGTCCGGTGTGGGCCGATAAGAAGGTGGTATTAGCGCACTGTGTCTGTGTGATGGCACATAATCAGTTCTGAGGACATCGCTTCCAGTAATGCTTGGGTTGGAGGACATGGGGGACGGCTGCAAGTAATGCTGTGGATTGTTCAAGGAGTTTGTGCTATGTGCACTATAGACACTACCGTTGCGGATCCGGCCACTGTAGTCGTGAGGGGCTCTATCCAAGCTGGTCTGAGAGTGACAGTAGTATCCATTCTGATTGCCCACAAAGAGGTTATCTGAAAGTAAAGAACAGTCTCCATGTCTAAGACATCAAACAAATAGACCCTCTATTCAGGTGAAGCTAACCAGTGTTTGAGATTTTCAAAATCTCGGTTATTCTGAGCTCTGTGTTGAAATGGGAAGGAAAAAACCAACCCCAGCTTTTCCGTTAGTGTTGATACCTGAGGTACGCATGCCAGAATAATGCATTACGTTCATTGAGCTGGCACAGATTCCTAGTGGAAAATGTTGTTTCCGTGTAAGAACGGCTTCTTTCTGTTTAGGACAGGTTTCTAAGTTTCAGTCGAAGTTAAACAAAATCCTATCAATCTTAAACCACACCAATTGAAAGAAAGAACGTCTATACCAGGGTGTGCACTAATCTAATCTAATGAGATCTGTTTAAACAAAACCAAAACAGCGCCCACAAACAAAAAAGCACCAGAAACTTAAAAACACCCCCACAACAACCAAATGAAACCCTTCTCACTCCTCTTCTTCCCCCTCAGGCCTTGAAGTAGATACAGTACCACAAGACCCTTTTAAAAAAGAAATAAAATCAAACTAACTCTTCTCCAGAAATTCTGGGGACAGTTCAAGCCACCACCATATATAATGTGCTTGTTAACATGTGCCCACTCAGACAGGTGAAGAAAGTGATCTAACAGTTTATACATCAAATATACATTTAACGATTAATTCACTGGATGTACAATTTGCCACACTCCAGAAGAGAACAATTCAGTACTTGATTCAATTACTTTTCATGACTTAACTCTTCAGGGTCACCAAAATAATTGCCACGTCTATGGTAATGAATTTTCTGACAATCAAAAATTGTTTGTGAAAATAATTGTTCAAAAATAGGACGTGTGCAGTAGCAAGTATCCAGCAATAATTCCAACGCTATATTGCAAAGAATTCACTACATTCTGAATGTATATACCTGTTCCATCATGAATACTTGTGTAACTATTAGGTTAGAAAGTGTGCTTATTCTCTGACCAGTTAGAGTACTTTTGTTATCCAAGTGAGTTGTAGAACCGGAAAATCCCTATCAAAACTGAGGCAACTTTATAAAAGATTAGATGGAGCCCTTCAGGTCAGCAACTTTGTTAATTAAAGACACAGCATTTAACAATTAAAAAAAAAAAAAAAAAAGAAAAGAAACCAGCCGTGACTCCACTGTATCCACTGTACGCTGCTTAGGAGTGTGCATTCCTTGCAAATTCTAATTAGTGTTTGCTTGGGCTATTTTATTTCCTTTTTCCAATCACATGTATACCAATTCCGTAACTTGCAGACTTCCTCAGCTTTGGAATTCTCCACCACGCTGCAGTCCAGGGAACTCAGAGAGAAACTTCTCTCTTCCTGCATCCTGCGTTTAGATTTTTTTATTTATTTATGTTTAAATTGTCTGAATTGTCTGCAGCCTCAGTTACTCTTTGCGGCTATTAAAATCAGTATTGACAAGGGTCTCATAATGCCATAAGGTACCAGTTTGGTACACAAACCAAAGAAGCTACGTTCAGCTTAAACTCACACAAGGGACCACAGTCTACAGTTGCTGTGTATGCTATCATAGCTAAATTTGTTCATATCCCATGGCAGAGGATACGGAGGAGGAGCGGCTGAGGGAGCTGGGAGTGTTTAACCTGGAGAAGAGCAGGCTCAGGGGAGACCTTATCACTCTCTACAGCTACCTGAAAGGAGGTTGCAGGGAGGTGGGTGTTGGTCTCTTCTCCCAAGTGACAAGTGAACAACAAGAAAAAGCCTCAAGTTGCACCAGGGGAGGTTTAGATTGGATATTAAGAGAAATTTCTTCACCAAAATGGTTGATAAGCATTGGACCGAGCTGCCCAGGGAAGTGGTTGAGGCACCATCCCAGGAGGTATTGAAAAGACCTGTAGATGTGGTGGTTAAGGACATGGTTTAGTGGTAGACTTGGCAGTGCCAGGTTAAAAGTTGGACTGTATAACCTTAAAGGTCTTTTCCTACCTAAAACACTTCCGTGATTCTAATTCAAATTAGCTATATGCCTAGAGTAGCAGCAAGCACTTCAGTGAGTGTTGTAGTACAATCCTATCCCATGTTCACCCTATGAATTTATTCAGCTCTAGCTAAAGTAGCTATAAATGCGTATTATAGCTTTTACCTTCTAAAGTTGTGTAGTGTGGCCTTGGATTTGATGAACTTACCTTGGGAGGATGCATATGGTTCAGTATAATGACCATTGTAATGCAGCTGAGGCGGTGGAGGCATCATATAAGGCTGAGGCTTGGGCTAAGAAAGCAAGCATCTTATTGTTAGTTAAGAACTCATCTATTTTTAAAATAAATCTTGAAGATTTTTTGTATATAATGTATAAAATATAGTGTATAATACACACAAAGCCTTAGTCTTAAACCACTTCACTAAATCTGTGATGTACATTTCTCCTGTGAGGCTATACAAGAAATAATTTTTAAAAAGGAAACAAAACCAGAACCCCACACCACCAACCCAAGACTATTTTGCTGTCTGACATGTAGGAAAGTCTCCTAGATGAGTGTCCCAGAGACAAAGCAATCAAACTAAAACCTGAAGTGTTTAAAATATTTTTCATTGCATTATTTTAATTTCATTATTCAGCTATTACATGGCAGTTTTTTCTACAAGTCAGAAACAGTTCTTCACGTACTGGACTCCTCTTTTTCACTGCTCATTTCATTTCACTGAAGGAAACTGATGTCTCATTCAAAGCCAACTGAAATCCATAAAAATGCAAATATACCACTATTTGCTTTCCTTACCATAGACATCCTGGATGAAGACCGCCTTCTAACAGGATTCACGGTAACCGGCTGGGTTTGTCTACAGGAGAAATGTTACGGTGAGGAATGATTCTTAACACCACCAAGACCTGTTTCAAACCTTGGAATGTGCTCCCAAGTTCAGTTCAAAATCACTCTGCATTTCCTGGAGCCAGGCCCTGTGTTGAACAGTCCTCCCACCAGTCTCAAAACAAAAACCACCATCGCAGGCAGTGTGAGCAGAATCACAAAATCAAGACACCTCAGTTATTTCTTTGCCTCTTTTCTGTGGAGCATAAGAAGGAGACATCCCTGAAGCACTGCAGCAGGGCAGAAAAAGCAGCAGAGTAACTGGGGACTAGTTCCAAATTTGAACCCAATATAAAATCCCATCCTTTTAATAAACATTCACAGTTTGCTAGACTGTCTCCAAGTTCAGAAACCTTAAGCTCCTTTTTCCTCACCCTACAGTGCACCTGTACTCTGCATCTTGCAGCAAGACAGAGGTGAAAAGACAGGACAATAATACAAATACAGGAACTGACAGATTTCAGAAAGAAAGATGATTTTTCAGCTCACCCTTTGGGAAGCGAAGGACGAGAAAGGATTGGAAAGCGTGGAAGGGAAAGAATGAGGGAAGATTTCTGAGAGCCCTCCTCAGGTGGAGAGTCCAGGGCGTCTCTAAAGACAAGGTATGCACAGATAAAGAAAAAAACCACCTGAACTCAATACAGGCATGCATAAGAGTTTGCAGCAGCAGGACCAGATGACAGGGAATCTTAGAGATATCAGAAAAGGTTTTTTGAGGACTTTAACTATTAATAAAAACACGTGGTGAGGTAAGGGTTAAAATAACTAACCCTACAGACTGACATTCAATACAGAACTATAGAACTGACATTATTCAGGTGGCAATGCACAAGTCCCACAAATGCCCTACTTCTACCAGTATTTCTTACCCCTCTCAAAAGGCAGCCAGGTTTACAAGCTTAGAGGTATGAGGTCTACCCCATTCCAAATGAATCTCACTCTTCCAAGACACACTTGCGTGTCATCTGCAGTACAAAATATTTCATTACCTTTCCACCAGCCTCAGCAAATTTTTGGCCAACTCCTCCATAGCTATCTTCTCGTGTACAAAGAAGAGGAATGGAACATTTAGGAATCAAGCTTTTTTATGGCAGATTATTCACTGGGTCTAAATCTCTAGTCTTTGACTGAAGTAACTTAAGTGAAGGAAAGCTGTTCCAGTGGAGTAGCTCAAATTCCAGCCCTTCATATACAAGTTGGAGACCAGCCCATTTAAATTTAATTTGATCAATTGTATTAAATTTACTTTGCACTGGTGCTACTTGAGCTACATGGATTCCACGGATATCCAAAGGACCACATACCTCTCAGCTGCCAATCCAGCACATTTCACGAGTGCTTCACATACACTTCCCGCCCTTTTAAAGGCCTGTATGTCCTTTTAGAGCAGTTCACCCTAACCCAGGCCAAAACCCCAGTGATTCCAGTAGCTCACAAACATTCTAGCAACAGCAGCCCCCCAGAGCAACTGAAGTCTGCCACAGCACCGAGATCCAGCAGCAGGGGCCAAACACTACCGCTTATGGTAAGATTTCAGTGTCCTCTGCTATAAAGCAAAACATTTTTGAGAAACTGGTGATAAGTATTTTCTCAAAAAAGATCAAGAAAAAACCCCCAAGTCATTAATTGCTACCATCTAAAAAGGACAGTAAGAAGGTTATTGAAAATCATTATAGAGGTTAGGAAAGATTTCACTTCCCAATAGAAGCTTCAAGAGCACCAAGGGTTGTGCTGATGTATTCTACTTACAGGCTGCATTTATTTATTCTGTAAAATTTGTGCCTAGCCACACACATCCTCCACACATATTTTGCTGTTTCCATATCTTCCTGCCAAAAAAAAATAACAGAATTTGCAAATTAGCCACATACGATATGCATACCCTTTATGTGCTTTCAGACAAGCCACTGAAATTTTAAAGATTATATTAGCATTGACCGATTTTGTTTCATTGTACCTTCCTGCCTGTCACCAGGTTTTCCCTAAAGCTGTACTTTGCAGGCCTGAACATGCACTCTAGCATAATAATTTTATGAGATTTATGAAAGTTGAAAGTAGAAGCTTTTTGTTGAAGACACTTGTGAGCTGTAACACTAACATAATTTACAGTGTGTGCGTGTATATATATATATCATGCCATAAAATTATCAACAGCTGCACTCCTGACACAGGCAACTGGTAGATGCTACATAAAATGAATTGTGCAAGCAATGCTGTGGCCCATTCCAGCAAAGCTCTAAGACCATGTTTGTCTTCAAATGCCCCAGATTTTAAAGGTCAAACAAACATGCTAGAAGTTTTACTGGGATAGATGAAAAAAATCCATGGCCGCTTCAGTCAAACTTGTAAATATAATCAACATAAAGGGTCAGACTTTTAACACCTTCGCGCAGAAAGCTAGCCAGAGACAGTATTATTACTTTTGCCTCATTCAGGTATTTAACATCTTCCAACTGTATACAAAGTAGTATTTATCCATTGAGTTAAATACGCAGTCAAATTACGGTTTTATTTACTGAAGCCTTACAGAAAACATAAAAGGAAAAATCTACTCACAGTTTGGAACTGGATTGTCTCTTCTTTGTTTGCCAGCTCTAACGCAAAAAAGGATTTGTTGTGGGACATGTTGGCAATATCATGCCACCTGCAGACAAAAGGGACAGAACATGACTGCCAAGCTCTGACTGACAAACCACAGAAAGTGCAACTGGAGAACAGAACCATCGCCAAGACTATGGATGAAGAACCTAGGACACATAGAAAGTTTCTCAATCCATCTGAACAAGTTGCAGGCCATCACTTCCCTATCCATTAAATGACTGCTGAAAGGAAAATATGTTGGTGACTTCCCAATCTCTTCAAGATGCACGACACATACAGTAATAAGTTTATTACGTGTCTTCCACTTGAAATTCCTTCAATTATTCTTTTAAAAACACCATCTAATTTAGATAACTCTAGTTATCAGTAAAATCATAATCTACTGACTCCATGAAAGCAAAGCACACATTCCAACAACAACAAAAGAAATCTACACTGCAGGCCCTCTATAGACAGGTACAGGAGCAGCCTCACACTCACAAGCCTTGGTCTTCATCGGGGACTTCAACCACCTCCATATCTGCTGGAGGGAAAACACTGCAGGGCACAAGCGATCCAGGAGATTCCTGGAATGTGTTAATGATAAATTCCTTCTCCGAGGGAGGGGTGCCATGCTGGACCTTGTTCTCACCAACAGGGAGGGGCTGGTGAGGAATGTGAAGCTCAAGAACAGCCTTGCCTGCAGCAACTATGGAATGGTGGAGTTTGAGATCCTTAAGGAGGCGAGGAAGGTGCACAGCAAGCTCCCTACCCTGGGCTTCCTGAGAGCAGACTCTGGCCTCTTCAGGGATCTACTTAGCAGAATACCCTGGGATAAAGCCCTGGAGGGAAGAGGGGCCCAAGAAAGCTGGTTAATATTCAAGGACCACTTCCTCCAAGCTCAGGAGCCATGTGGCCAGAGAAATTCAGGCAAGAACACCAGGAGGCCTGCGTGGATGAACAAGGACAAACCCAAACAGGAAGCCTACAGTGGGCAGAAGCTGGGACGGGTAGCCTGGGAGGAATACAGAGAAATAGTCCAAGCAAGGGCAACAAGAAAAACTTCTACAGGTACAGTGGCGATAAAAGGAAGACCAGGGAAAAGGTGGGCCCTGGTTAGCTGGGCTATGGAGAAGGCTGAGGTACTCAACGACTCTTTTGCCTCAGTTGTCACCAGCAAGTGCTCAAGCCACACTGTTGAAGTCAAAGAAGGCAAAAGGCAGGCACTGGGAGAATGGTGAACTGGCCATTGTAGGGGAAGAGTATGTTTGAGACCATCTAATGAACCTGCAGGTGCACAAATCCATGGGACCTGACAAGATGCATCCAAGGGTCTTGAGGGTACTGGCAAATGAAGTTGCTAAGCCATTACCCATCATACCTGAGAAGTTGTGGCAGTCCAGCGAAGTTCCCACTGACTGGAAAAGGGGAAACATAATCCTCATTTTTAAAAAGTGAAAAAACGGAAGACTTGGGGAACTACAGGCCTGTCAGTCTCACCTCTGTGCCCGACAAGATCATCCTCCCAGAAACTATGCTATGGCGCTTGGAAAATAAGGGGGTGACTGGGGACAGCGCACACAGCTTCACTAAGGACAAGTAGTGCCTGACAAATGCTGCCTGCCTACCATGGGGTTACGGTGTTGGCAGATAAGGGAAAAGCAGCCGACATCATCTACCTGGACTTTGCAAAGTGTGGAACACAAGCTACTGAGGAACACACATAAAATGTGAAATGCACAAAGCTATTTTAAGAAAGAACCATACTAACCTAAATACAACAGGAGGACGACCATTTTTGTGTTTCACAAAGATACCATCAAGACACGCTCCAATGAATATGTCACTTCCTTGGCTGTCCTGTAAGAAATTGTAAAAAATTATGCAACTACAGAAAAAAAATCTTTGAAAGCAAAGTTACATGAGAAGCAACTATATTTACAGTTCTGAGAGAGAAGAGGGATAGTGTGGCTTTTGGGTTTTAATTATTTCTAGCAGGAAGTAATCCTTTTTACATAAAGGAAAAAAGCAACTGAGACACAGATCCAAGCCCTGTTTACCTTTGCAGGATAGGTCTCTTCACCATAGCCCTCCATTCTCTCTACTTCTTGCATATATAACATTTCCGCATCAGGAGGAGTAAGGCCTCTACAAACGAAAACAATGATCAGCTAGCACCATCAATAACAAAATATTATCTTGTTTTCACTCTGACTGACACTGTCAAAGCTTGAAAAGCATCCCCAAGACAACCTAGACATCCCCCAGGACATCCCCAATCCAGGCAACCATCAAATCATGCTGGTTTCATTTGTAATGGTCTTTACACTTTGATTCTAGTTAAGTTTTTTCTTTCAGGCATATCTAGGGGTAAATGGCAACAAAACCCTGTTAAAATTATCATCTCTGCTAATGGCAGACAATTATCACATTCCTCAAACCCATCACTGTCACCACGTTTTCTCACTTTATAAGAATGATTATTCTGGCACACGTGTTCAAGACCCGAATTTCTCCTATTGCAGTTATGCATGTTTAGGACCAATATGAAGACTGACATGTCACATTTCAGGAAAGAGTCTCATTTTCTGAATGCTGACAGAGTGTTAACTGTAATGGTTTGAAAACATGGAAAGGAGAAGATCTGTAAGTAAAGGTTTTGGGTTTTTTTAATCAGACCAACTGGCAAAGACAGTTTTCTCAGACTTGCAGTAGTGTTCCAGGGATTAAAAGCTTGTGTTTCCCTACCTACCTCAGTTAATCTCTACCTGCAAAATTCTGTAATGCTCATTCTTATGTCTCTCAATACTTTTTTAGTCATCAGTCTGTTTCTCCACTTTTTCCTAATGTCATGCAGATTAAGTTTTCTTTGCTGAACCTTAACCATGCAATCTTGTTACAAAAGCATTTCAAAGACAAATGGATTTGAAATTTCCAAACTGTTGTTTTAAAATAATATAGGATAAAATAATCAGTATTACTCACATAGTCACAAACATTTTTCACTGATGAACTGACAACAGAGAACTTAGCTTTCGTTTATCTTGGACTACTGCATCTTAGCTAGCTCTTCTTTAAGATCACAAGATTCTGGCACAGTGACTGTCTCTACATTTCTACTGCCCTTGGTATCCACCAATGTTGTTTATCAAGAAACATCCTTACTGGGGTCACAACTTCATATAAACAAGTTTCAGAAACATTATACAGGTGAAGTCACATTATTTGTCTTCTGTATTCTTAATTTTCAAAGCAGAATCCTCTCATTTATTTTTTGTTAATTTTGTGAATTTTAGTGGTCATGCTGTTCTTTTTTCACTTTTATTCAGCAAAACTTCTTGTAGTTTTAATGCAGATGTATCAGTGAAAAATGCATTTAAATGGGAGGCAAAATTAATCCAACTGTCTTCTCAGACTCCCAACTCCCTCACCTACTGAAGCAATCACACTGAAATTAAGCAAAAGAGGTTTAGAAATGTTACCTGTACTTCTGATGTAGTAAGGCAACTTTCTGTGTCGCTTCTTCCAGGATTTTTTCTTCTTGCAGCCAGCCCTTAAGGTAAGACAGCATTTACAGAATGAAATACAATAAAATTCTACAAAATTAAATGGCTGTAGTTTCTTTACATAAGCAAACCAACCCCCCCACTCTATTCTTGGAGCTCAGATGCTGTAACATGCAAACAAAAAATCACAAACACTGTTTTGAAGTAGTTTTACTCATTTTCCCATCTCCACCCCAACCTTCTTTTCAGTGTGACACACCATAAAATTGAAGAGATCTTGCAACATCTTTGCTTCCATGAAATATAATGTATCATATCTCACTTCTGTCTCAAAGAAAACCTTTACTGAATTTGACAGTCCAGGGAGCAGTAAGATAGATGGGACATGGAGTCTTTAGTAATGACTTGTATTTACCAATATAAGGAAATATTTAAATGTATCATTTTAAACTAAGTACTTACCACTGGAAACAAAGCAAATCTTTGTAGAAACTCCTGAGATTCATACTGATCATAGTCTCCAAAATCAGCTAAAAAATAAAAAATTTCTTGGATTCAAACATTTGTAACAAAATTATTCAATACCCGATTAATTGCAGGACGATCTCCAAGTAGCAAATCTCCATCCTATTGAACTATGATCTGAAAGTAAAACAACGGAACAAACTAACCAGTAATGTTTAAGAAGAGGAAAAGTAAAACCACATCCCATCTTTTTACCTTGTTCGGCAAAATTGACAGCACTCCTTGCGGATAGGACAGGAGAAGAAATGATAAAACAATCAGAGTGTTGCTCCAAATTCCTTAGTTCCTTGGGGTTTGGTTGGTTGGATTTTTGATCACAGGATGAGGTTGGAAGGGGCCTCTGGAGATCTAGCCCTAAGCAGGGTCAGCCACAGCAGATTGTCTCAAAGCCTTCTCTGGTCAAGTTTTGAATACAGACAATGGAGATGCTACAACTTCCCCAGGCAAGCTATTCCAGCATCTCACCACTCTCACAACACAAAACTTACTATGCTTAGATGAAATCCCCTGTATTTCAATTTGTGCCCATTGCCTGAGAAGAGTCTGGCTCCATCTTCTTTACTCCCTCCTGGCAGATACTTAATTACTTGCAGTACTGTGCTGGCAGACTGCTCTAACTTGGAGCGGGAGTCAAACACTGCCCAGAGCAGCCGGAGCACCCTTCGGCTCCCAAGCCTTCTACAGCTCCCTGCACCCAGACATGCAGAAAGTGTGACCTAGAAGCCTTCCCAGACTCGGGCATGCTCAGAAGGGACTTTGTAAGAGATTTGATTTTACATGATGCCAAAGGCCATGCTAAGGAATTTGCCTCTTTTTTTGTTGCCCAGAAAAAACTAGCCAACGTTTCAAAGAAGAGAAATTAGAAAGTCTAAACTGGAAAAGTTATGTGCCAGTCTCGTAGGAGAAACTGTGAAACAGTCTGTAGGGAACAGCTGCTCCCAAAAATATACACACAATCCCCAGTATACAGACCCTATTTACATTACCACAGATTCTCATCCATAATAGTACAGACACATTTAGGAACCACATTTGTATTAGGCATTAACAATTAATATGCAAGTTATTTATGACGAAAGGGGAGGACTTCTGATGGGCTACACGGACAGAGCACTTGAGACAGAGCAGTGTTTAGAATTAGCCGGCTGTAATCATTTCAAATACGGCTCATTCTTGAAACCAGTACACTTGAAACAGCAAGTAACTGCTTCTGTTCGCTCAGAACCAGCTAAAATTAACTAACCTACCACCAACTAACCTACCGATGACTGAATAAGCTACTTCAGTCATCAGAGCACATTAATTTAGAACCTGCTTTTTTTCCCCAAGATGTTTTTTCACCCTGTTATCAACACATACAGTTTCTCTCTTATACAGCACTGAAAAAGGAATGTGAAAGCTAAAAGAATAAATATTTTCCATCTGGAAAGAGGATTATATTGAAAGATTTCTATAAACAACTCACTGAGCAGAGAGACATTTACACTGTCCAAGGAAATGGAAGTAACAAAGCGCAATTTTGTCAGCTGAAGACCATTAAATCCTGGCTTGGATTAAACAGATTCACTGTTACATAAACAAAGCACTAACATCATTCACCCTACTCCACTGGGAAACACATTTTCTAAAAACATAATCGTCGTCTTTGATACGATACTACCAACACATATAATTAAAAAAAAGACCAAACAACCTTAAGTGGTATGTACTGCCAAAGATTTTAAGTCCCTGTCAATTTTGTCAGATTTACAATTGCTGTTACATACACTGGGGCAGCATTCACTATGAAGGAATATACAAACACACTAAACAAAGCTGTTGCCATTAAAAACTTCTCTTTTGAGATATCTAAGATGGAGCAAGCATGTCAGCAGGGAATACCAGCCATGGTCAGTGCAGACAGACTTAGGACTGGTGGTTCCTTGGTGTATGCTCTATCCCATCTGATCCCAGTTAGGAAAAATAAATCAGCCACTTTCATGTAGGTATCACAGAAGTGGGTCTTCAGGAGTGGTTTGAACATAGGAATTGTTAACAATCTTGCATACTAACTTGAAATAATCTTAGGTATTACAATGTTTGGGAGAAAGAGTGGAGATACAAGTACCACTGTACATTCAAATTCGCTTATTTATTAAAACATCTCTTTCTCTTGTGACCATGTCAGAATAAAGAGTCATTAACATAAACAGCTGAAGGGTCTGTCGATATAAGCAGAGGACCAAAGCCTTTGCCCCCTAAGGAACTCCAATTCAAACCCAACTCCTGAAAATACATGTGAGATACCCAGGTACACCTCTAAGGACTGCACAGAAGTACCAGCAAGTCTGGGGCAGCTGACCCCACAGTTCCCCCTCCTCAGCCCATATGATGAAGTTGTGCAAGTCTTCCACAACTTACTGAATTGAGTCTTTGAACAATAAACAGGAAACATGCAATAGAAAATGCATCACCAAAGTTTCTAACGCAACATTAGCTAATTGGCACAATTACTTTACTTACCCTGAACAGCTAAACCAGCCAGATGTATTGCTTGTTCCAGTGTGCAAGGAATGTTGCCCTCCAAGATATCTTTCTTTAATTGCAAGTAATACTGATACCTACATGGGAAAAAAAGAAAAAGCTAACATGGGCTTCTCAGCTTAAAGAAAGTGCAGATGAATGCACCCACATTTTCTATTCTTCTCTGCATTCCCCAGCTTGTGTGGAGGGGAGTCTTTCTCATTCAGACCCACTATTTCATAATCTTTGTTAACTTCTCCCTTAGCCTCCACATATCCCTGCAGAACTGCTACCTCTTAAAGAATCTCCACAATTTCTATCTACTACCATTCCTCATAATTTTAATTTTTTACCTCTTCCTTTCTTAATATTCTTACTCTCTCCTCTTTACAATGTTCAGGTCACTGCTGCTGTATTGCTGCATTCTCTTCCAGCAGATACATTTCACATCCCTCCAGTCACAATAATGACTTTCATTTCTGCATTACAGCTTCTGAGAAAATTTTTTCCTCACTTTCAAGGCACCAGAGGTTTTTTTCTTTAATCTGAACTTTTTGTGGGTCATCTCTTGTACAACTAGTAGTAGTTGCATGTGCCATTTGTCCACAATCTGAACCACATTTTCTTGAATTCTTCTGCCCCTTTCAGCCACCCAATGCAGTGCTCTATCTAGAGCCCAAAACACCTAAAAACTCAAAAATGCCATTATAGCTACACAGACTTTGCCAAGAAGGGCATTTGTCTTCTGTAAGTCTAGTTTTAAAAGCTGCTTAACTTTCTCACATTGTAGGTTAACTCTTGTGAAGTAAGGCTTAATGCTAAGAACATGGACGCAATTAATTCAGTACCTAGAGAATTCAGGTAAACGCCACACAAATTTTCATCAGGCTAAAAGATGGCTCTCTTCCCTTACTATTTAACAGCCTGTTAAACACAATGACATTTTATAAATATTGTTTAGACTCTCCTGGATTCTACTACCAAAAAGCAGTATGCCATGTAATAGTAGATAACATCTTTATACAACACACACGAGAACAGCTAAACTGGGACTAAACCCAGGCCTTAAAAAAAGGAAAGGAGAAAGCCAGTGCATATCAAGGCATCTGGGGAAATAGATCTTCCCAGTCAAGCAGCAGAATGTAAGCTCTTTCCTCAGAACTGCTGTAAACATACAGACGAAGGACACTACCTCATGACAGTACAAATACCATCTCTTTTGTCTATGACATTTCCATTTCCTGGTATACATTAAACATATGATTTGCTTAAATATGCTCAATCTCATCTATATTGAAAAGGCTTGGAAAAAAGTGCAGATTTCTGAAACTAATCCAGACTCTCACTATTGTACATCAAAGCAAGTACTACTAGGACTCGAGTATAAAGTTGGCACATAAATTGCTGCTTTCTACGTGGCAGCGCGCTACAAAATTGCTGTTAAAGTTCCAGCATAAACATCATATTCTTTAAACAAATGCCAGAGAAGAATATTCAAGGTTTTTCAGGCAAATTAACTATCCAATGCAACACCATGACATTTATCTTACTCTAATACATCCTAGTACACCAACAAGCACAGAACCTAAACCAGACTTATTGGGGAAAAAAAAAAAAAGGGAAGAAAAAAGACCGACAACTAAAATTACTTTTTAAGGCAGTAAAATTGCTGAGAAAAAGACCAAAACTTCAGAGTTCTCAGAAAGAAAATAATCTTACAGAAATGACACATAAAAGCTGCCAGGAACTTAGTAATACATTACAGCACCATTGCCTGCAAGAGGCTTACCTCCCTGAAAAGCTTTCACACCAAAGGTAGCGGGAAAAGGCTCTGGCGAGGTATTTAGCACCAGAGTATATACAGACAGTTTCATGTAGCCACAGAATAAATTAATCTGGAAAGGACCTCCAAATAATCACCTCATTCAACTCCCCATTTAAAATAGAGCCAACTTGGAAGTTACCAGCTTAAATGGGTTAATTAATGAAAACGTATATTTCTGAACTAACAAATACAGGATGGTAATCCAGTTACAGGTTTTTATACTCATTTGCCTGTTAAAAATAGTAATTAAATCAGAACAACTATACACATTAAGACAGTAGAAGCCAATGTATAGGCTCATAGGAGTAACTGGCCAGTATATATGTTCAATTTTCCTTTTCCCCTTGCAGTCAGCACCACTTATGTGATGTTCCCCAGATGCAGTAGAAATGGATATATGATATCTAAGCTAACACCCATCTTCACTGCCCAGTGATACACAAAAAAAAAATCACAAGCTGAACCTTAGCCTGTATTATTACCAATGTGTTGTACTGAAAGCAAAATAAAGCGTAGCTTAATAAAAATCCACGTGTACTTTGCGTGGGACAGACGTCCTCAAGAGGCACATACGGCTCTTCATAACAAAAAACAGAGAGAAACATGAAGAGACTGCAACAATTAGAAGTCTGAGGGTGCCTATTATTGAAAACAGGTTTGAACAGATTCCCAAACAGATTCCCAAACAGTTAGTTGTTTGTTTATCACATATTTTAAATATTTGAAAGGAAAATAAACACAGTCTGAACAAAAATTCTGCCCAAAATTAACAATTTCCATGTCTATAGAGGTGGGGGAGAGGAAAACTGGCAATTTTTAAGTAAACCATACATTTCAGTATGCTGAAAACAAAATCACAGGCACTTGTATGAACTTTACCTGGTAATCCCCTGCTGAAGCTGAGAAACAGTAGGCACATAGAACACTACTCCAAAATACACAGTTGGTTCCAAGGCATATTTGTCCAGCTGCTTTTTCAGAGGCTTGTCCAAATCTACCCATCTGCGCTGATTCTGCTTGTTATAATACCACAGACTGAAATAGGTAATCTGATAAAGAGACATTTCAATGGTGAAAAAAAGTTAATATTGCAGTATTAGATAAAATATATTGCATGAAAGTCTTCCTACTTAGAAATAAAGGTTTTAAAACACTGACTGAGGCTATGGGTTATTAAAAACTTGAGAACCAGAGAGATTTATTATCAAAAGCAGACATTCCTTCCAGATAAGCAATCCACATACATAAGGTCCCCACCTAGAACGTGACCAAACCTACCCTTTATTTGCAAACAGCCCTTGACCCTGTTGTGGCAACTCACAGTTGTCAACAGTAAGCACGTACATGTGGCAGGAAGGCAAAGGGAAGTGAGGATAGCAAACAAAACAACACTGGAGCGCAGGAGAGCCAAGCATGGCTTCTCTAGGGAACTGGCAGGCAGGCTCACCCGGGATGCAGAAGTTCAAAAGAGCACAGGACAGCTGGTCAGTCAAGACAAGCTCATTAAAGCACACGTAGGGCTCATCCCACCAGCAAGAAAATTACCAGGTAGAGCAGCAAGCTACCTTGCCTGAGCAGGCAGCTCTTGAGCAAGCCAAAACACAAAATACAGTATGCACTGGAACAGATTGCCTGGAGAGGCTGAGGGGTGTCCACCCCTGGAATGTCAAAATCCCACTGGACAACATCTGGAGCAACACAGTCCAACTCTGCTTAGATCTCCTGTAAGGAGTAAGGACTAGAATATTCTTCTATCACTCCACAGCATTAGTTCTACATCCACAATGTAGAGCCACTCATTCAAATTTAAATTTCTCCACTATGTTTAAGCTGATTTAAATCAGTTCCTGGAGATTCCTAGCTATTTCATTCAGTTCTAGACCAGCAAATGAATGTAGACTTGAAAATACGAATGTCGTTATCATAGGAAAAAATAGAAATCATAATTACAAGTTTCTTTTAATTGAGAGAGGGAGAGAAGAGAATGCTACAAATTACCAGTTGCATCTGTAGGCATTTAATGGAAATTCTCCAAGTCCTTGCTACATACACATTACTTTTCTTTATATATTTTCAGAATTTTTAACTTATACAAAATAAAGCTATTTAGGATGAAATTTTATAAAACAAAGGGCTATTTATCATAATGATTTTCTTTTTTTTTTTTACATCAAAAACTTCTGTGAATTAGACTCAGAAAAATTGTCTACCTAGCCAAGGATTTACTTTTGTGTTCTAGAAGCTCGAGGATTGAGACGCTTTGGGGCACAGATGTGAAATTCATTGGGGAGGGACAGTAGAGACATACTTCAATACTTGCCTGTGAAAACTCACCTATATTCATGTCTGAAAATTCATATACTTAACATCTTCCTAGTTCATAGCCTAAACAGGATGAAAAGTCTACCCTTATGGGCTTCTGGCTATCCCTTGCAGCTCTGGCAGGCTGATTAGCATGAAACAGCCATGGCATGCAACATCCCAAACTTCAAGAACAGCAGTGAAATCCACTCTCTGAATCAGCACAGATCATAAAGTAATTTGGGGCACAAAAGTCAAGGTGTAGCATTAAATTAATAAAACTATTCCATAAAAGCACTTTCTCAGGCATATTAGCAAAGCTGGGAAATTAGAGCCAATTATAAGGCACAATGTTCCTTTGATGTCGCATACTGGCAAAACATACTTCTTTGTCCCTCTCTAAATTAGCATCAATAGAGTTTTAATTGAGTGTTTGTGGTGGGGTTTGGTGGGTTTTTTTTTCCCCAATGTTTAAGAAAAATCTTCTAACTTAAAATCACTGTTACCATGTAACTGCAAATCAGTACTCAGAGGTAAATACAATGTTAGGATGAAGTCAGCTCATTTAACCTTAATTAAGATCCCTTCTGCAAACTCTAAGACTCTGGTCCTATTTGATAAAAAAGCAAGCTGTAATACAAAAATTTAATTGAAATTGAACTGTTCACAGAAGGAAAAAAAGAAGTTTTTCAGTATAGTGGAAGATATCTGCAGAAAAGGCAGAATGCTGATGTACACAAAATAGTTTCATGGCTGGGAAAGTTCAAAAGTGACCACAGAGAAATGGACTGCATCAGAAACAGAGTTCTCTTGTAAAGCAAATCCTTCAAACCAAACTTTTCACAAGTGGACACTGTGTGCTCTTCACTTCTGAATTCTGAAAACCCAAAGTCAGATTTAAGAAGTCATAAATACTTCACTTTCAACAGGACAAAAGAAGCATGGTTCTGATTACAAATACTATAAACAACACTGTTTTCTACATTTCTCAGCCCAGGTACACAAAATTTGCTGATACCTTTGACAACATTTACTTTTATTTCTGTGCTTCAATCCCCCAACCATAAGATACAGTGTGTGGCAACCTCCCCCACCACACAAGGATATTGAGTGACAGTACGTCAAGATTCCGTAAGATGTTAGGCATTCTAACAGTAGTACCACACAAACCCCATTAAGAAGGAAATAAGCTCACTGCAACATCACACACTGAAAAGGATAAAATGTACCAAAGCACTACTCCTCAATCCTTCCTGCAGACTGAAGGAGGCAAGGAATGCACGTAAAAAGCTGTATTTATTTTTCACTACAAAACACCATGCGCACAGTCACAGCAGCCCAAGTCAGACTGTGATGCTGACATCCTGTGACTTGTGTTATAAATGTAACGTATATATAACGCAAGATGGTAAGTAAACTAGAGGACCAAAAAATAACAGTTAGAGTTGAACTATATGCCATGAGCTACTTGACCTCACTTGCTAGGAAAAGCTCAAAAAAGCAGCCTGCTGTGCTGTCTCAGCCCACCTGCCCAACAGGTCAACCGCATCAGTGCCGGGCTGAGCGTGACCGAAAATGTCAAACCACCTCCTGGGTGCGAGCAGAGGCCGAGGCAGAGACTGAAACCTAAGGGTAACAGCTACCGAACCACAGAAGCACACCAGCAAAGTTGAAAGACTTCTATAACAGATAACACACAAACACCTTTGGAAACCAAATAAAAACGTGTGCAAAAATTTCTAAGCAACTCTTTGAATAACTTTCACCTGCAGCCTTGGTGCATCTGAGCCTCAAAGCAGCACAGACGTGTAACAGAAAGGTAAGGAGAGAAACACCACCACTGCTTCCAGCTCCCAGATGTAAGGTACTCCTGGTTCTACAACACAAAGTCTGAACGGAATGTACTTTTAAGGAATGATGGTCGCTTGCACTGCTCTGTTTCTTTAAAACAATGACCACTTGCCTTAGTTACTGGCACAACAGACTAAGAAAAATGTTTCTGCATTTTAAAATACCCTCTGGAATACAGCACATCCTTAAATCAGATTTTTATGCCACGGTATTTTCCCTTACAAACTCCTCCAATCTGGACTATCAAAAATAAAATGAAAGCCAAGCAAAACACGACAGACCAAAGCCTGTCTTCTGACTTGTATGCAAACCTTTCACTTAATTTCAAGGGCAGAATTTGATCCTGAGTTTTCAGAGGAGCTTATGCACCCTGGAATATTCACACTGATTAAAATAGAATCAATTTTTATTCATCGTTAAAACATTTTATTATTAGCAGCTCAGGACAACACCCAATTCTAAAAAGAAAGTCATTACATAATGCCTAAAATATGTTAAGCTGTTAAGATTAACACCACTCTGAGGTTCATTTATTTTAGTGACTTATTCATGACCCAACCCCTTTGAAGAAGATCAAACAGAAATAAAAAGAACATACAATTTCTGCAGAGTTGCTTTCTACCTAGCTGCTTTCTGTCACTACAGACAGCAAGAGTAAGCATTTCTGCAGAGAAGTTCAAGCGTGACCAAGCACCAAAAGCCCAACACAGTATTACAGCTCACAGTTTGGTGGGAGTGGAGTGACTTCATCTATGAAGCCAACCAGACTTCCTAAGCTAAGCAGAGGAGCTTCGGCAGGTATGAACTCCACAGAACCACAGTGTTATAGGTGACTATATTATGTCTTTTGGCATGAGGTATGATGACAGTCAGAGGAGTGTGGCTGATCAGTCTTAAGAAGGGACTAAAGTAAAATGCTACTGTGGACCTCAACTGCCTAAGAGCCAATACATAGAGAAGACAGAGCCAGACACTTCTTGGAAGTGCTCACCGCAATTATGAGAAGCACTGGGCACAAGCTGCGACATAGGAAATTCCAGTTAGATCACGAAAATAATTTCACAACAGGACTAGCCAAACACTGGAACAGGTAGCCCAAAAAAGCATTAAATCTCTATCCTCAGAGGCGCTCAAGCTCACGCAGGCAATCCCTGAGCCACGTGATCCAAGCTGGCCTTGGGAGGGTGGGATCATACAACCCTCAGAGGCCTCTTCCAGCTGAAATAGGTGATTCTATGTCATTACAGAATTGGTGCTAACAAAGAGAAAATGGCTTCCTAAGAAATTGTTGGATGTATATAATAACATCTTTTTTTTTTAGATTTAAAAAAGTATATGCTACAAACCCATTAAAACCTGAGCTTTAAATCTTAAAAAGGCTCATCAGTTTCCACATCTATGGAGCATACTTTGCTGTTCCTCGTTGTTTTATAATCTGAAATGGAATCAATGAGATGGTCCTTCTTCCCTGTACCAACTGCATGATATTAGTTATCTACAACTAAGTAGTGCATTTTGTCTTCAAGCATCTCCAGCCATAGGCTTGCCAAGCTGGTGAAGAGGGCTTTAAATTAAAGGTGCTGGAGGAGAGGAACTTCAGTCCATCCCACTCCTACCAGTTTGATGCCAGTGCCAACAGATGCCCCGAGCCTGGAGAAGGATCACAGGAGAGGACCTGAAAAGCAGCTCAAAGGAATTCCAGCCACGAGCTGAGCCACTCAGGTTCACGGGGTGCCCAACTGAAATACCCCTGCGTAAATGCAGGTAGCATGGGGAATAAGCAAGAGGAGTTAAGAGATGTGCACACGCCTGCAGGGCTGTGATCTTCTTGTCATCGTGGAGGTGAGTGGGATGGCTCCTATAACTGGAACTTTGGAATGGGAAGATACAGGCTCTT